ATATTAATAATAATAATAATTTGAATATTGAATTGAGTTTTCAGAAAAGAGCACAACGTACACATGATTTATGAATGCAAGCCTTTTATTTAAAACAATGTTAAGAAACAAGAAAAATAGGAACTTTTAAATATGTGTACAGTACAAAGCTTGGTAAGATAGAAATGTAACAAACAAATTCCAAAAATAAAAGGCATGATGGAAATGAAAAATAAAGTAAACAAGCTACAGTAACAGTTTACAGAAATCCACAACAACAACATACGTTGTTTGATTTCTTTCTTTTTGGGGGCTTAGTTTGCTCTATTAAGTGCCAAAAGACCGGAGACAGAGCCTCTGTGGTCAGGGAACATAATGTCACTCTCTCATCAGGTAAATCTTTTTTTGTTTTATTCTCTGAAGTACTATAGTTGTGAGGGGGAGGAAACAAATCACAAGTATTAAGCTGGGCAATGTGTTTGTTGCTTGCTTAGCAGCCGGTGCAGGCAGCAAAAGCGCAGATCTCACAGACGTCCATGGGAACCATAGCTGAAATAAAGACAAAAGACTGTAAGACACAATGTTTTTATCACCTGGTCCAGGTGATAAAAACAGTTCCATGGAGGTCCAGGTGACCTGGACCTCCATATTCATGACTTGACATACTTAATATTCCACTCAAAGGCTGGCTGTTATAATATAGTGGTCTCACCTAGTCTGGACAGGGATGCAGATGCTCCTCTCAGCCTACAGAGGGGCAGGAACTCCTGGGGGAGCATGGGGTCGGCACACAGGGACCCGGTGCTCGCCCTGAGTCGAGGGCTCTGTTGTCCTGCTCCGCTGCTCTCTGTCAGCTCCTGGAGCCTCATGACGGCTTCCAGAGAGAAAGACAATCCATTCTCCTGAAAAGAAAGACAGATAATTGGTGTTAAAGAACTGCATCTTACCAGTTAACTGATGTAGGGTTAGTTCAAATAATGTGTCAAAACAAGTTTGTAATTTAAAAAAGTACAAGGTGCAGGTTTTGGGTAAGCTATTGTCCAGGACCAGTGAGTACTACAAAAAAGATAAATAATGCACTTACTTCAACCCGCACAGCCTCAGAGGTCCAGCTGAGAGCGAGGACGAGGACAGCGATGGTGGCAAGTGTGGCCTTCATGGTGACAGCGATTTGTCTTGAAGAGTCTTTGTCTCTTGTGGTTGGTGTGCTCAGCAGGTGCTTAGCTCAGTGAGTGCTTTCCTTCCATCCACAAGCCTCCTTTAAACAGTTCTGCAGTCATGTGACCGCAGGTGCAAAGTTTTTCTCACGGGTTAATCAACAGTGAAGGGGGTTTATAGGGTTGTAAACGGGAATTCATAAATCCTTCTTTTTCCTCATCACCTGTCTGATCATTTTATGGATCCCTGGCTCTGCTGGCAGCTCTGTCTCGTAGATTGATCACACCTCGGGTCGGTTAAACAGTTACCTTTCGCTCCATTGATGATGGTGAAAGCTTCACCTGCCCATTGTTAGAGAGCCCTGTTACTCACCTCTGAGCAAACTGTTGAACTTTGTTTTACAAGCTAACATGTCTGACAGAACTGGATCCTATCATGTTTAAAAAAAGTGCCATGTTTTTTTTTATTTATTTGGAAACGTGTTATTTTTAAACAGAAAGAATAAAAAAAGATACATTTGTTAAATATTTAAGTTCTGTATTTGCCTGATTGAAGGACACAAAGGCAATTGCATAGTATTAGACTAAAACAATTAGTTTAATATTTGAACAAATATAATTTCATCCAGCAATGCTTTCATTACCACAGCATCTCAATCAACAACTTTATTAATTCTTTAAGGGGCAATTGGTTATGATCAGCAGCTTGTCATGTACACAGGCAGGACGAAAACACACAGATACACCCGGGAGCACAGATGTGGATCATTCCAATTTACACTATAAATAGTTCATAGCATCACAATAATAAATAAATGAATAAATATTCTATGTCGGGCAGGGCCACTATGTTGAATTATTTTAATGAGCATTTTGTGTCCTGTGGCTCTCTGCTTGATTATGTTGCTAACTCTGCTACTGTGAACACCACAGTCTGTGACTCTGAAAAACGTGGTTTGGAAAACCCTTTCAGTTTTTCTCCTTCTACTATTGAAGTCGTTCATTAAGCCTTATCCAAGTTAGATCCTAAGAAACCGGTTGGTCTGGACAACGTAGAACCTTTCTTTT